TGGGGGGTTGGGGGGGGGGGGTGAGGAAGGTACGCCTAAAGTTACAACTTTTGCTTGCTACTTAGACGGGGTCTTAAGTGAATGTGCAAAGAATTAGCTGCATTTCAATTATATGCATTCTTGACTTATAAACACTTTTGATGTTTATAAGATGCATAAATAAATAAATACTTATAAGCTTATTCAAATACCATGGTAGCCTAAAGGGTTTTATCCTATGGACAAATAAGTTTACAAGTTGAGTAATTTTTAATCAAAGGTTTAGTGGGACTTGGATTATACATGAACACTATAACTAGGGGTGGGCATATTTCGGTACGAACCGAAAATATTTTTATTTCGGTTTCTGTCTCGGTTATTCGATTTTTTCGGTCGGTTTCAATTTAAAATTTTAAAATTTCAGTTTTTCGGTTCGGTTGTCGATTATTAATTTATTTGGTTCGGTTAACCGAAAAACCGAATTATTAGCATATAGATTCTTTAAGTTATATATAGGTTAAGCCCATAGGTAATAATATAGGTCCAATTTTGAAGTCCATCAAAGTCTCAATCCAAATAAGTAACTCAATCGGCTATTCCTAATTTCCCATTCCTTAAGACTTTTAACTCTAACGAAACTTACCATTTTATTCTAACTTACCAAAATTTTGAAAGAAAACCAACAAATTCGTCAGTCCAATTATTACATAGAAAGAGCCCAATATGATAATGTTCAAACCAAAAACCGATTAGAAATAAATCAAACCGAAATTAGAAAATTGAACTGAACCGAACTTATTTCAGCTCGATTTCGATTACTACTTTTACAAAACCGAAAATCAAATAACCGAACCGAATTTTTTAAACCGAACCGAACCGACCGTACGACCACCCCTATCATCAACCGTCACCTACTTTTGAGTTTCAACCCCTTTTTACACAAGTTGCTACTCCAACTTTTATGTATTTGCGATTTGACCACATGAGGTTTCAGTAGAGACGTATTTTGACCCAGAAGAATATTCCTAAAGCACACAAATTTGTGCTTCTGTTTTCCTTATTTAATTACGTGCTTTTCTTTATCTCCTAAATTTCATATATAATATTAATGTTTTAATGTAAAGATGGGGATGAATTTTTTAGTTAATTCACTTCCTGATGTCAAAGTTATAGGTTATGGATAGGGGTGTACATGTATCGGGTTGGCTCGAATTTTTTAATTATCAAATCAAACCAATAATGTCAGGTTTTTAAATCTATAAACCAAACCAAATCAATAAATTCGGATTTTTCATTCTCAGTTTTTTGGTTTTTTATATTTATTTTCGGATTATTTTCCTGTAAAGTCTCATAACATAAAATATGTAACTCGTGCTCCAAATATTTCTTAAGTCCTAGTAATATACAATTATATAATGTATTTTTTAAGAAAATAACACAATAATACTCCATCCGTTCCAATTTATGTGAACATGTTTGACTGGGCACGAAATTTAGGAAAAAATGAAGACTTTTGGAATTTGTGGTCCTAAACAATTCAAAAAGGGGCCCAAAGTATTTGTGTGGTTATAATAGTTTCTCATTAAGGGTAGAATTGTAAGTTTAAAAAAAATTATTTCCAAATTTAGAAAGGGGTCATTCTTTTTTGAACAGACCAAAAAGGAAATAGATTAACATAAACTGGAACGGATGTAGTATAAGATAAGTCATAACATTATTTTATTATTATAATTATAATTATAATTTTTCTTTTCTATTATCTATTATATAGAAAAGCCATGAGGTCGATCGAGGGCAAAATTATCATTTAGCTAAATCCTAAAAGCTGTTTGTTGTGTCTGCTCACGCAGTGCTCTCTCCGGTTCTTTTTTTTCGCTCTTTCTTCTTTCTCTCCATAGGCGTACCCAAGATTTGAGCACAACGGAGGCACCACTGATGCTAACCACTAGCGATAAATTAAATTCGGCATGCTACTCTTTGAAAACTTAATATTATGATGACTTATCGTTCAAGTATAAATAAAAAGAAGTTCTAAAGAAACAGAAAGCACTGAACAGAGAGAGATTCCTTCACAAAATGGATGCTATGAAAAGGGAAGGTGTTTGATTAAGCATGTTTCACACTATAAAATTCTAGTATTTTAATAAATAAATAAAAAGTTATGTTTAAATTATCAAAATTTACTAAAGAAAACAAAATTATGAGTATGTTAATAGTCAAAGAACTGAAGAATAGTTTCAAACTCTTAGTTGCCATTGCCGAATCGGAGTCAAAGTAATTGTTGAAGAAGGATTTGTGTATTTCTATTTGTGGAGCGATAAATTATAATTTGAGTCTTTTAATTTTAAGGTAGGGATTTGAAAGAGAATAAAACTAATTAAGTTACTGTTATTTATTAGTACTAAACTATACTTGAATTCAAAAAGAAGATAAAAGTTAAAATTAAAGCAATTTGATATTAAGTCTAAAAACTGTTTTATTCCAAGAACTAAAACAAAAAGGAGAAAAGGGTGAAGAGGGCTTTCGACCCATGTCATCTAGACAAAAAGCGAACTTAAATGCCCAATAAAACCACTTCTCCATCTACCTTTTTGTATTTGGGGCGCATCTTAAGTATTTAAGGAGTCCCATATATAATGAACAAGTATTATTCTTTGATTTATTGTTTTCTCTTTGGCTTGCTGTTGCAGATTTGAATAATTATAACAGCGAGTAAATAAAAATGGGACTAGAAGTTCACTTTAAAATGCCTAGACGCTAGTACTATATGTAATCAGGAGGTCCAGAAGATCATCCATTTACAGAATATAGCAAATCAAATGCCAGACGTATTTACTGATTTGAAAAGGATAACTAAGTCGTATATCCCTGCAGAGAATGTGTCTATCCGAATTGATGTCCAAGCAGGACCATCTACTAGCATGAGAGCTAGTGAACCTAAAGCACGCCTGAAGCGTGGTAGACCTTTGGGTTCTAAGGATCGAAATCTTAGAAAAATAAAATTGACAAATGATCAAAATGATAATATGAATGGATCTCCTGAAGAGACCCAAGATCTGATTAGTTCTGAGAATCCTGAAGAAATCAATGAACCCGAGACTCAAGTGAGTGAGGAACTTTTAATATGTTCTACTGTGATGGGGTTAATTTAAATCGATTTGAAATAGTGGTGGATAATATTTTTGCATATAATGTTGCACTTAACATTATGCAAGATAGTGAGGATTGTGAACCCCGGTCTGTCGAAGAATGTCAACAAAGATCTGATTGGTCAAAATGCAAGGGGCAATTCAATCAGAATTGAACGCACTTGCTAAAAGAGAGGTCTTTGGACCAGTAGTCCAAACACCTGCTGGTGTAAAACCAGTTGGTCATAAATGGGTTTTTGTGCGAAAAAGGAATGAGCAAAATGAAGTTGAAAGATACAAGGCTCGCCTTGTCGCACAAGGATTCTCACAACGACCTGGAGTCGATTATGAAGAAACATATTCACCCGTTATGGATGCCATAACATTTCGATATCTCATCAGTTTAGCCTTACGTGAAAGACTTGAAATACATATGATGGATGTGGTTACAGCTTATCTGTACGGGTCACTTGATAATGAGATTTACATGAAAATCCCTGAAGGATTTAAAATGCCTGAAGCATATTCAAAATCTCGGAAAATGTACTCAATCAGATTACAAAGATCTTTGTACGGTTTAAAGCAATCTGAGCGCATGTGGTATAATCGCCACAGTGAATATTAGCTGAAAGAGGGTTACATAAATGATGTTATTTGTCCATGTATTTTTATAAAGGAAATGGCTTCAGAATTTGTT